GGTCATCTGATTTAAATGAATTTTCGTGTGATCATATATATTGATGAGATCTTGGACAAGTTCTTATTTGACACTTTTTCGATGAACAGTTTCGATTTACCACCATTGACTAAAAATTCGTAAAAATAGTTAAAGATGGGTTTCCTTATATTTTAGTGTCAAATTAAGCAAACTATTTGATTAATTAGTGTTTCTAATGAATTATCATGTATTCTTAATCATATTATTATGTTCTTATTGTATATAATTAAGAATTTCAACCAATCATAAGTATCCATGTACGATAGTCTGGAAAAACAAAAGATACTTTTTGACCTTTCTCGATCGGCCACTCATTGGAATCTGCTGGTAATTCTCTTCTAATTTAGCTAATTATGAATTAATTATGGACATGTGAGACAAACCTTTACTTTCTAGTCATATAAGTTTTAGCATTTTCATTTTCATAAATGAAAATAAGGCAACCCATCTTTAAACCACCGTGTATGTTCTCACCATCATTAAAATAGTTTTTGAGTTTATCGCCATTTGTATCATTGTTAGTGATTATTCCGGATTGTAAAAATGGTGGAACGTTGGTGGAAGAAAATGGAAAATTTAAATGTAACTGTCCACTAAACACATTCGGTGACGATTGCAGTAAGTACAAATTAAAAAAAAAAAGAAATTTACCAATCTCTCCTCGCTCGGCTAGTTTTTCAGATGGGACAATAAACTGAGGCCCCATGTGCTTCAGGCTGTACACGTTAAAGATTCTCGACAGTTGGAAATCGAACAAGAGTAGGAAACCCGCTGTCCTGGTAAAAAATTTCCCTCATTGCACACTGCATGGCGTTGCCCGTCTTTAATCATTATCCCACATGGTGCAGAAAAGTTGGACGTAAAACTCCATTCATTTTATTTTTCAGATTGTCGATACAAGTATTCAAATGTAAAATCTTTGACGCCCCGTGCCTACGCAGAAAGAACTGTGTCTGATTCAGCGAAATGTGATGAAAACTGTGCTAACGATACCAAATGTTCCACTTCTACCACTTGGCTTGGAACATGTCTTCGTTACAAAACACCAATCATCTTCGTGTCGTTGGATGGAAAAGAAGACCAATGTATTGAAAAGTGCAACGAGATGAGTGAATGTAAAACGATTTGCACTCAAAACCATACTAGGAATTTTTCCTGTTATTT